ATTGCTACTATAAACATTTCTGTAGTGTTTTCCCATTTTTAGATGTGAGTTACAACTGGTAGAAGAAACAGCTGCCACTGTGGCTCGACATAACTAAGCTCTTACTGTTCCTGTTCTGTGAGGTAGTGAGGGGGTCTAGGAACCTCTTTCTCCAGGAGGGTCTATCCAGAAAGTTGACACCAATATTAATTTTAAATTTATAATTTACTTAATCTTAGTCATCTAAATATATACAGTAAAAGGCTAATATGCTAAGTGTCCAACCGTTTGGGAAATTACATCACATAGCAATACCTGGCTTTCTCTCCCTAGCAACTAGCCTCCTTGGAGTTTCTTCAACCCGGGAACATGACTTGCTTCATAGCCGGGTAGAAACATTTAACACTGTAACCAAATGTCTGTGAAGCGTTTTTAATTGCCTCATCTCATTTGATCCTCACAGAAGTCTTGGAGTAGGTAGATAGAAGACTCGGTGGAATCCTATTTTCTTTTCATTAGCCGGAAAATGGAGATTTAGAAAGCTTAGAAATTTGACCTGACTGCAAAGAAGTAAGAAATGGTGGACCTTAAAAATAACTTCAGGTTTTCTCACTGCGAAGAATATAGTCAAACACTGCTGCAGTTAAATATTTTACCTTTTGTTCTCCCTTTGTGATCTACAATAATAATCTGCTTTGTGTTGATATTTACTGCTGTGTTGCTGACAGTTACCTGAAAGAGAAGTTGGGGTGCTTCACTGGGCTGGAAAAGGTTTAGCTATATCAGAAAGCAGGTCTAATTAAGCAAGTTTATTCTATATCTATAAAAGGCTAAGTTGACTCGCACATGCGCAATACATATAAAGCTCTCACTGGCACCAATCGTATGCATGTGTTTCCATCTGTCATTGTCGATCGTGAATTTGGTTGACACTTCTATTATAGAGAAAGGGTGAATAGCGATATTAAAATATTCTACTTAATTTCCTTTCAATGTGCACGAAATGAATAGCGATATTAAAATATCCTACTTAATTTCCTTTCAATGTGCACAAATTAATGCACCTGACCAATAGTATATCTGTAAGAGTACATTATAGTTGCAGAAGAGGAAGAGAAGAATGTCAGGGAAGTTTTCTCAGGAGTGTTCCACCTGCTGGCTTGGTCCCTGTGCACATGCAGGCACATCATCACACGCTCCCTCTGCCTGCTCACCTTTTGGTCCAAAGCTGATGGGGAAGACCAACAACCAAAAAGAGGAAGCTGAGCCCAGAGCCAGGGCCAGGACACAGCCACTGCTGCTGGGTTGGAAATACTGGAAGCCGTCCTTGGGCCATTTGGAAATGTTAATTAGGCTGGCCAGTTCCCACTGATCTTGGTTGCCAGTGTTGAGTGTATAGGCTTACCCCATCCCTGGCTGCACCTGTTCCCTTCCTCAGAGCCATTCCAAGGGGTCTGAATACCCCGGCAGCTCTCTGATCTCCGCTCTGTCTGCCTTCCTGCTGGGAGGATGTTTAGCACTCGCCGAAAGCTGGAACCCTGGTCCACTGTTTCCCTCATCCATGCCAGCTCTCAAAACCATTCCCTTCCCTAATTATCTTGAACCAGTTAATCATTTTCCACACTGACTGTTCAGTAACAGGAACCCAGAGCGAGGCAGCCACTTTCCCTGTCCGACCCTGCCCAGCTCATCCCAGGTGGCAGTCCTGGATGGCAGCCTTTCCCCAGAGATAAGAACTCAGTTCAAATCCTTGCTGTTTGCTACCCCAGTGAGTACAGCCAGAGAAAACATGCCACAGAGAGGCCCTACAGCTCCTGAAAAGCCTCCACGAGGCAGAGCTATGTGGAACACAGAAAATCTCCACCAAAGATGATTGTTTCCTGTGTTCCTTTAAATCCTTGTTGATATCCCGAGTATCAGAGAAGTCACATGAGCCCACAGAAGTAAGGCATCTTTCTCTAAGAATGATGTCAGATTCTCTGGGCTCCGCTCCTTGAGTCTGAGCCCGAGTGGCCCGCTGGCGTCTAAGTGACATTTGAAGGGCTCTTCCTAGAGGGCTCTCACTCAGCTGCTCTGAGATGTGAGCAGGGCCAGCTCCCGATTCCCAGCACCACTAACCTGGAAGTAGTATGCTAAGCAAAATAAGCCAGTCAGAGAAAGACAGGTATCACATGATCTCACTTATGTGGAATCTAATGAACAAAACAGATCCAGAGACACAGAAGCATGGAACAGACTGTGGAATCTCAGAGGGGGAGGGCGGGTGGGTGGGAAGAGATCAACCAAAGAACTTGAATGCATATATGCATAACCCATAGACACAGGCAACAGATTGGTGAAGGCCTGGGGCAGGGAGTAGAGGTGGGTTCGAAGAGGTCAATGGGGGGGGGGGGGGGATATGTAATATTTTCAACAATAAAGATTTTTTTAATTAAAAAATAAAATTAAAAAAAGGAAAAACCTTGCAAGACACATATTAGCCCTGGCTGGTTGTTCAGTGGTTAGAGCATCGGCCCTCAGACCGAAGGGTTGCGGGTTTGACTCCTGGTCAAGGGCATGTACCTGGGTTTCCGGTTTGATCCCAGCGCTGGTCAGGGCGCTTGCAGAAAGCAACCAATCGAGGTGTCCCTCTCACTTGGATGTTTCTCTCTCTCTACCTCTCCCCTTCTACTCTTGTAAAAATCAATGGAAAAAATCTCCTTGGGCGAGGATTAACAATAACAGTAACAAAAGGCACATATTAACCCCATAACCCAGTGTCTCTCAACCTTGTCTCTCATTGCCCCACTCTCATTGTGGAGGCTTCTGAGGCACGTTTATTTCCTAATTTGTCCCCTTCCCTGAAACACCACAGAAACACTGTATGTCTGTTTATTGTACTTACTTCCGAACTTTATGCGCATAAGGAATAAGATACTTTTGCCCTCCAGCGGTGACACCACCCCATTAGAACACATGCCATAGCTCCTCCACCACAGCCCCAGAGCTGGGACATCCTCCATTTCCTCCACCGCTGTAGCCCCGAGCCTGGAACAGCACCTGCACATATGGGATATCCAGTGAATAAAGGCTGGAATGACTAGTCTTTGTGTCCCTCCCCCGCACCCCCAAGCATCACACGCCTATTCTCTTTCCGTCCCTCATCCCCAAGCACGGTGCTCTCTTCTGGTGCCTCCAGCCCTGCCTGGTCAGTGGGTACCTCGTGCTCACCCCGGGGATGTATCAGGAAGCTGACAGCCAACTCCTATGTTCCAAGGATAGGCCCCGCCCTTTGGCCACACAGCCTGCGTGTCAAGGGCAAGTGACATTTGAGCCCCATGGAATCATTAAGGCAGCCCCCAACTGTCTCTGTCTTTGCATCTCCTTAACTCACCCATGGATTGGCAGTTATTGAGACATTCTGTCTGGTCCAGCCACCACACCAGGCTGCATCTGGGGACACGCTGGGGAGAAACGCAAACCCATCCTCATCAGCAATTACAAACAAGCCTCCATTGTTTGCTGCGCCATCTGTTTTCTTGGTTTCTACCAATCGGGTGCCTCTGCGCCCAGCATAACCAGGGTTGAGGGGGCTGCAAGGGAGAGAGACCGAGGAGCCCCTCCATGACCCCCTTGGCTCACACTGGAGAGGGTCCATGGCATGGTGCCTTGAAAAGCTGAAGCTCTTCAACTCAAGGAAGGCACATGCAGAGTGGTTCTATGTTTGCGTCTCCCATGAGAGGAAATGGGGCCCACGGCACACACAGTTCATGGGGGGTGGCAGCGGGGATAGGAAACCTAAGTAATCACATTATCTAGAGCACCCACGGGAAATGTTCTAGTCCGTTACCAGCAATTAACACCTCCCAAGAACTTCGTATGCTCCTAGAGCACAATCAGTGTGGTGAGCAGAGTTAACAGTGGTTGGAAATCAAGTAGGACAGAGAATGCTACCAGATCATCCATGACCGATTATTTATCCTGAAATTCCTAACCCCGAATGACTTCTTGGTGGGGCAATAAATGTTCATCGATAGATTAGAAAATACAGCTTCGTAAAGGTCCGAGTTTCTTCAGAGAGCCCCACTGGAAAGTCTGTCATGCCGAGGGCATTCTCATTCTTAGAGACGGCCCTGGTCACTGTGCCAGCCTTGGCAGACAGCAGTCTGTGCCACTGATAAGCGTCCTTTGTCTGGCTTTGATGGTGGCCCAGTGACACTGAACTCGGGAGCATTTGGGGGGTCAGGGCGAGGAGCGATGGCTGGGTGCATAAAGAGGCTGCGTTTGCTAAGGAAAACCCACGTGGGAAACAGGACGATGTGGTGATGGAGAAAACATGTCAAAGTCCAGAAACTCCCAGGTTCTCTCCAGTTAGGCCTGGCTGCTGAGACCCCACTGCTCCGTGAGTGAGGGCGAACGTGGGGTCCCACGCACCACCGACGGCGGAATCCCCTTGCCCAGCCGCCCGCCGCACAGCACGCCTTGTGCTGCCTCCCTGGGACTGTCACCGCACAGTGACACTGGCTCTGTGTGAACACACTGTGTCCACCTCAGAAACGGAAAGTGCGACCTGCGGACCTGTAGACATGCACACTTAGAGGGTATCCCTCGTTTCTGTAGGCCATCCATTTAATTTCAAATACTTGTCTTGCAGACTCTTACCTTTGACTCTGTTTTGCCTTGAAAACTCTTATCTTTGACTGTAGTATAGAGCAAATCAGTCAGGAAATATTGGGCAGCAGGAAAAAGGGTAGAGCAGTGAGTGCTACCCAGTGTCTGTAGGGCTCCTGGTAGCATCTGCTTCATACACCCTGGGACTGCTACTGTCGCCTTCCTTTTGCATGGATAAATGTGACAGCAGTTAGAACTCTGTTCTGCCAAGTTGAATTTTAAGCGACTTTTCAGTTCCTAATGATCTCTAAGACTGTGACAACTCTCAGGCACCTAGGAATAAATGTATTATTATCACTGTGTTCATTATCAAGTGGGGCTATGGATGTGCTGGGCTGTATTCATTTGATTTTTATGTTCTTTCCCTTCAGATTAAAATACGTAAAGGTCTCGTTGCCATATTTGAGCAAGGTAAGACTGACACTTCAGCGGATTTGCTCAACCTCCCTGCCCTTGGGGACGTGCGTGTAAATTCACTAACATGCCTCCTTCCCTGGCTAACACCTCGAGGAAACGTGCCCTCCTGTTCCTTCTGTTCCCACCTCCCCTCCCAAGGGGCCCTGCCCCGGTCCTGCCCCTGCATGTCTGTACTGCCCAGGGAGCCCAGCCTCGCTTTTTCTCTGCTCCTGCACTCTGGGCGGAATCCGACACCAACACCTGCCATCCCCGAAAATGTCTTTGTTGCCGCCCTATTGTGTGGGGAGCCTGGGGAGCCTGGGGAGCCGGGGACCGGGAGCCGCCTCCTTTTTTGTTGCCGGAGCCGGGAGGAGCAAGATCTTGAGATGGGCCGATAAGACCCGGCACGCGTGCTGGGCCGGCCTTTGACTGCTTGCCTTAATAGGAGCCTCTGCATGGGAAGGCCGTGGTCCAGGCGACTGATGAATGGAACAGCTGGGGGAGGAAGAGCAGACAAAAGCCGGGGGAGCACAGAGGGTGGAGAACCAGGGGATCTTGAGGTTTATGACCCAGAGGGCAGGCCAGGCCTGGGGGCAGGTGTGCCATCCTCTGTGGGCTTCTGCTTTCTGCCTTGGGTCTAGGGTCCAGGCCCTGCCCGTGCGCACTGACAGCAGCCCCATCCAGGGGTCCGGTGCTGGCTGAACACTCTCTGGGGGGCCTGGGCCGTGGGCGGACAGGTGGGAGGGAGACTAAATGATGAGGATGATGATAGCGACGACAATAATGTGGGCAACATCAGTGAGCAAGCTGTCATTTATTTTTTTATATATATTATTTTATTGATTTCAGAGAAGAAAGAAAAGGGAGATGGAAATAGAAACATCAATGATGAGAGAGAATCATTGGTCAGCTGCCTCCTGCATACCCCTCACTGGGGATCAAGACCGAAACCCAGCCCTAACTGGTTTGGCTCAGTGGCTAGAGCGTCGGCCTGTGGACTGAAAGGTCCCAGGTTCGATTCCGGTCAAGGGCATGTACTTTGGTTGCGGGCACATCCTCAGTGGGGGTGTGCAGGTGGCAGCTGATCGATATCTCTCTCTCATCGATGTTTCTAACTCTCTATCCCTTTCCCTTCCTTTCTGTAAAAAAATCAATAAAATATAAAATAAAATAAAAATGACCGAAACCCAGGCATGTGCTCTGACCTGGAATCAAACTGTGACCTCTTGGTTCATAGGTCGACGCTCAACCACTGAGCCACACTGGCCAAGCCAAGCTGTCTTATTAACAGTATTGTCCACAGTGGGACTCATGGCACAGACTCCAATCACTGTCTCAGTAAATATGGAAGCTGGAAGTTCTGGTCCAGACTTCTTGCCACACCTGCGGGCCAGACAGCAGCACTGCCACAGCGAGCTGACCCTCCAGCCCAGCTGCCCTTCCCTCCCCGCAGCCAGGGCTTTGGCCCGGTCCAGGAACTGCTGGAATAAAGCTGGCTCACTCAGGGCAGGTTCCAGAGGCAACCAGAGCCACAACACTTGGGTGCACACATCTGGCTGGGCAGAGCAGGGCAGTACAAAAGCCTGGGGGCTTCATGCAAAATTCTTGATTTGCTGGGACCGCCCTATCCATGCACACCCTCCTGCTTCTGGCACAGATGCGGTGAGTGGGGCTCCAGTGCCTTTGAACCCCCAGCTTCCCAAAAGAGGGAGAGGCCAAGTGCATGGCATTGTCTCCCCTGTCACCCACCTGCTCCTTCCACAGCTGCCACCGCCCCCCCACCCCCAGTAATCACAGGGTGCGGTGGGCACGGCTGGAGCCAGCACAGGCTGAGGGTGTGCCACCGAAAGGTGGGGACTGGAGAACGCAGGGGGTGCTGTGGTGCAGGCTCCGCCTGGGGAGTGGCCTGCCCTTTGCCCTGGGCGGTTGGGGCCACTTTGCCCAGAGCCCATGCAGGTCCTCCGAGCTGGCATCACTGCCCACCTGCTGCCTCCCTGGGTGGCTGTGGAGGGGTTCAATATTTTCCCTTTCCTTAATGTCCTATCTTTGAATAGCTCTTTCTTTCATTCACTTGCTTTTTTTTTTCTCCCCTCTCCCAATTGATCTGATTACAATAGCGGGTGGGGTGGTTCCCTGTTGATCATGTGAAGTGTTAGGCAATTTGAATGTTAGGTAATTCAAAACGGAATGTTATCTGGGATTAAATCAGGTGTGTTTGCCTCCCTTCCCTACCCCCCTTACTCCCCCCACCCCCCTTTGAATGCTGGTACCACACCTTCACCTTCAGCTACAAGGGTTCAAAGAGATGCCTGTTACCAATGCCATCTCTGTCATAGATGACAGAGTAGCTGCATTGCCTTTGTCAAAGCAGCCTGTTTTTAAAGGTGAACACAGGAGAGAGGCCCAGGATGTTTCCTGTCTGTGCCGACCTCACTGGGGGCAGAAGAGAGGAGAGAGGCCTCGCGAGGGAGTCTTACAGCCCTGAGTCTCCGACATGAGGAGGGCTGTCTCCTCCGGCCCAAGCATGTTTGCAAGTACTGATTTCCGAGACTCTTCCTAGAAACAATAAGGTCAGATAATAAAAACTTCAAAGGCCAATGCCCCAGAAATGAAGCATCTCAGGAAGAGCATAGAAACCTGCTTTTGAGGTTTGTTCCGGAAGCCTGGGTGAGATACAGCTGGGTTTAAAAATAGACTATGAGGGGGAGAAGGGTGATGAAATGATCCTCTCGCAGAATGGCCCCGGGAGACCAGGCTCCACCCGCAACAGTGGCCGAGTGTTGCAGCAGGCATTCCCGAATTCCTCCCGCTCCCGCAGAGCGGCCCCAGGAGGCAGCCGGCAGCCTCGCAGGCAGTAACTCTATTCCTCCCCCTCAGTGCTCATCTAGATTCATTCAGACAAGCGACTTATTTATTTACTAGAGGCCCAGTGCACGAAATTTGTGCACGGCTAGGGTCCCTAGGCCTGGCTGGCGATCAGGGCTGATCTGTGGGAGACCAGTGGATCAGGGGGCCCCCACTGGCACCCGACTTGGCCAGCCTGGCTCCACCCGCTCACTGGCCCTGCCCCCCACTGCTGCCGCAGGTTGCCTCCCACTGCGAGGCAACTGGTGGGGCGATCGGGTGGCTCCACACTGGAACATGCCTTGGCTGGCCTAAGGCCTGCAAGCTGGGGGCAGCTCCTGCATTGAGCGTCTGCCCCCTGGTGGTCAGTGCACATCATAGTGACCGGTCGTTACACCAGTCGTTCAGCAGTTTGGTCAATTTGCATATTAGGCTTTTATTATATAGGATAGTTGTTAATCCTCACCCTAGGATATTTTCCCATTGATTTTGAGAAGGAGTAGAGGGAAGGGGAGGAAGAGAAACATCAATGTGTGAGAGAGACATCCATTGGTTGCCTCCAGCACACACCCAACCAGGGCCCAGGATGGAGTCTGCAACAGGAATCAAACTTGGGACCCTTCAGTTCGTGGGCTGACACTCTAGCCACTGAGCCAAACTGGCTAGGGCGCAGAGAAGCAATTAAGTCCTGGCCTCTGGTCTCAGATCCTTGGGGGGATAATCGAGTTGTAGCTCCTGTAAAATGAGAATATGTAAATACATGTGAGTGATAACACTGACCAGGAGCCACAAACTGCCGGGAGCGGGAGCCGCACTCGCTTCCTCATTGACTGGACAGTGCTGCCTCCTCGGCTCCTCCTCCCTTTACTGTCATCACACGCCTTCTCTCTTCTTTCTTCACCTGTGGGTTGGACAGTAAGGCTGAGTCCATTTCAGAAAGATTCATCGTTTCTTATATGGCTCAGGAAGGTCCAGAGCAAAGACTGGGAGGAAATACCTTCCTTTGTTCATTCATTCCACAAACCTCCCAGCACTCCCAGCACTGGGAAGGCGTCCACACACCCTCTCTCGTATCCGCCCGCAGGGCCTCGCCTGGTGCCATGACTCGGCCTTTCTCTGCTTCCCTCGCAGGGCCCTGGCCGCCAGCCTGAGTGCCTACCTCACGCCTCTCAGCCGGGAGATGGCCGAGCCCCCAGCCCCACCAGAACCTCCAGACCCAGAGACTCCGGACACTGCTGGGCTGGTGCCCTCAGAGGCCGTCCTGCCAACCGGCTCCTGAAGTGAAGACAAACCCCGCGGGAAAGTTGCCGATTGGACTTTCAGACCAGGCGGTGTGGTCTTGCCCCCCAACCGCACGAACCTGGGCCTTCAAATGAAGAAAAGAAAAAGTCAGCAACAAACAGAGACCCAGCAGCCCTGGCATGGGCGTCGGTGAGGCTGCTCCCGGCAGGCACCGCGGAGAGGAGCCAGGCTTTGGGGGAGGGCGCAGGACCACTGGGTTCTGTACCAGGTTCTGTCCTCGTCGATAAACCCAAGCCTGCTTCACAGAGGGGCCTGCAAAGCAACTGTGCAATTGATTGAGGAATTTTCCCTGCCTTGATTTTCCTAGTTCTTACGTTAGAATTCATGGTCTACTCAGAAATTTCATCATCAAGGAAATGGGCTTTCCCTGGGGTCTTTGCCCAGGCATTTCCCTCAGGGGCTGTTTTGCCACCTGGTGCCTGTGGCCCACTAACTGGAGAGGCTTTCCTGAGCGTCCTGGAGGCACTCTGTTGCGACAGTGACACTCCTGTCACGCACTCAGTGTTTCCAGAAATGCAGGGCCCTGTCCATGGGGAGCTCCATAGGCCAGGGAGCTCCCAAGGGCCCACTCAGGGCCCAGCCTCGCTGGTGCTGGGGGAGGGACTTGCACCCTGCGATGTCCATCCGCCTCCAGAGGCTGTGCCCGCCCTGAGCTGGCCTGCCCGCTGCCCGGAGAGGGCCACGCAGGGGCCTCGGAAATGCTTCCCATCACAGAGCTCTCGGGTAGCAGATGCCAAGCAAGGATTTGCGGGATGCACAGTGCGCCTATTTTTAAAAGGAGAAAAAGAAAGCAATGGAAAGCTCAACCTTCCGCCAGCATTTTCCCAGCCCCTGCTGGGGTCTGTGGGTGTGAGACAGAAATCAATCAGTGGGGACACCTTTGCCTCTCACCTGGGCCCTCGCCCGTCTCAGTCTGGAGTCTGGCCCACCACCCTGTGCAGTCCTTACCCGTAAGGTGGTTTCACAGCCCACAGGCCCAGACCAGAGTAAGCCCCCGGCTCAGGATGGGGTGGAGACGGAGTGGGGGTGGGCAGCTGCTGGCCGAGGCCCCAGGCAGGAGCTGGGTGGGCCAGCATGGGTGCTCTCCCTCTCTCCTCTGCCCTCTGCCCTGCACCCATGAGTGTTGCCCCCAGCCTGCTTTGTCACGTTTCCCGTGAGCCCTCTGAGCCTACTCGCCCCGTCAGAGCGTCAGAGCAGCGGTTCCAGCCAGCAGCTCTTTCTGTCAGCCGGCGGGTTGGGGTCCTGGTACCTGACTGGAGGAGAGACAGGCAGACCCAGGAGCAGGGCTTCCTTTGGGGACAGTTGAGAAAGGCTCCCGCGAGGAGGGCGGGCCTTCTCTTCCAGAGGGAACTTGCTCGTCTGCGTGCTAGGGGACTGCAGGTGCGGCTGGAGGCCCAGGCCCGCGACAGCACCCAAGCACCGTCTGACTGTGAGAGAATGAGGAATGCTCCGAGGCAGAAGCCGGCCGGAGCCCTGGTCATTCGGGGCTGTTCCATAGGCGGGCCTGTGTTCGCCCCTCGGGCCGACTGGCAATGTAAAGGGTGACTGGGAGTCACAGCATTTTCTGTTGTCTCAGCAAATGTCAGGAGTTTTATCTTCCTCTCCCCCCACACAGACACCTCCTTCATGATGTGGACTTTCTGTTCGCATGGTTTGGCCCATCACTCACACTCCAGACTGGGGTTGAGTTGCTTTTTTTTCATATTTACAAAGTCCCCTGTTCCTGCTGAAAAGGCCACTGCATGTTCCTGGGCTTGGAAACCCACGGAGGCCCCGAGGGGAAGTAGCTTCTAGAACAGTTCACCTTCAGGCCCTAGACGCCCCCACAGAAGACTTGGCTTCAGTCCCAGTGATGGGACTTGGAAGGCGTGTTGCGCTCCCCTGGACTTCCGCGCCCTGGTTCCGTTTCACCTCCAGGACCCAGTCCTCCTGGCCCGGCAGCGGGAAACTCCGTTGTAAGTTGCCAATGGCTAGGCCTTCTTGCCATCCCTGATGATTCCAGGGGCCCTGGGACTTCAGCTCACAACCGGCGGTTTTGCAGCTGGAGCTTTTCCTGCGCTGTGGTCTGAAGACGCTGAGTGGGGGAGTGGGGATCTGCAGCCAGGTTTGCTTGCAATCATGTGGACGTGAATCATTTTGTTATTTGGGGTGGAAAATTGAAATGATCAAGTCTTTTTTTTCTTTTTCACTTAGAAAAGCAAATATTATGTTTTGTAATAGATGCCTTTCAGCAAAATTGGGAGGGTCACGCATTCGGTGGGGACCCACCTGAGTCAGATTAGTAGGGCGGCCAGCCATCCGTACACAACCGTGGCCCTAATGGCCCCAAATGGATAAGACTCGATGGCTCCCAGGCAAGACCAGGCCGGTTCCCTCAGTGCTCTGCACGCTGATGTCCTTCAGTCTCACTGAGTAGGTTTTTGTACATAAAAAAAAAAAATAGTAATGCCACAAAATGATTACGTCTTTAAAAATAGTAAAACCTTAAGCACACAGAAGTGAGGAAATTTAGCTTGAGTCAGGGACGCTCACAGTGTCTTGGTGGAATGAAGACTGCAGTTCCTAAGATCCGCCGGAGGGGGAGGGGTTCACCCTTCACTTTGCCAGGGGCTCACTGATCAGATCCTCCGCCTGACAAACAAGATCAGGTGGATCCACAGTCATACAAATCACATCTTCCCCGCCTTCCTCAGCTGCCACCCCCGTGCTTCACTGACTGTGATACTTGTATCACCTGGAGTTTGAGGAGTCCTTTAAAACGACTGTGATGTCTTACATGTAACCATGCTACCTTTACGTCTACTGAAGCGGAATGTGCTCATCTGAAGGGAAATTCAACGTAAACAACCACCGTCTTAGTTGCACTCAATCTCTATGTATGACATACACCCTAAGTGAATGTTTTCTTATATTTTCAGGCCTACAATATTGAGTACATGTAAATAAGGAAAAAATTTGATACATGTGGTAATTTAAGGTATAGTGTGTTGTTTGATTTTTATTTTGCTGTCTCTTATTTAATTTTCCTGATGCTTCACATCTGGGCTTATGCCCGTGGGACGGTGGAGACCTTTATGTGTAACTCACCTTCACAGGCTAGTGTGTTGTGCCGGACACCGCAGCAAAGACCCACCCGGGGAAGCACACAGCTCCACGGATGCCGCCACTGGACTCGAGTTGACCCTACTTTTCTCCTTAATTATGATTTACTGTGATGATTTAATGAAGTAGAAACACAGCACTTATGTGCCATATGTTTTGTTTTGTTTTCATTATAGTTTGTAAGAAAATAAAGTTTATCCTGGTATCTAACAAAAGATGGTTTGTGTTTTTACCAGATGAAGTTGTTCAGAAGTTTTTTTAAAAAAACCACAAGCCTAGCCCAGCCAGCGTGGCTCAGTGGTTGACTGTCCACCTATGAACCAGGAGGTCACGGTTCGATTCTCGGTCAGGGCATGTGCCCCAGTTGTAGTCTCAATCCCTAGGGCAGTGATGGCGAACCTATGACATCAGATAGTAGAGCCCTCTAAACTCATTTTTTTGGTTGATTTTTCTTTGTTAAATGGCATTTAAATATATAAAATAAATATCAAAAATATAAGTCTTTGTTTTACTATGGTTGCAAATATCAAAAAATTTCTATATGTGACACGGCACCAGAGTTAAGTTAGGGTTTTTCAAAATGCTGACACGCCGAGCTCAAAAGGTTCGCCATCACTGCCCTAGTGTGAGGCATGCAGGAGGCAGCCAGTCAGTGATTCTCTTTCATCATTGATGTTTCTAATTCCTCCCTCTCCCTTCCGCTCTGAAATCAACAAAATGTATTTAAACAAAAAACCAAAGCCTAAATATTTATTCAAAATGGTAGCCAGTACCAATCCAATGAAGTTTACAAATGTGATCATGAAAAGTTGACCTCTGAGTTCAGAACACGGTATGCTAGGACCACTCACATGAGTATTTGAGCCTAAGCATCATTGATCGCATGTTGATGCCCCTGCCTTAAGGCTACAACCGTCACATTGTAATGGCCTGACCGGTGAGCCTCTGCCAGCGTCCTGGGCTGCTCCTTGGCAATGGGCAGCAGGGACCTTTCAGGACATCAGACAGGAGAGCCCTCTAAACATCACCCATTTGTCCACTTGTTGACTATAAGACATTTCAGTGACCTCAAAAAGGGTCCTGACGCCTTCCTGGGAGCCTTGAATCAAGAGCTTTCTTGAAGTATGCCATGCTTTGAATACTTGGTTCCTCATAGAATGAAGATGGACAGTGTTAGAGTGTCATTGCCGAGAAGCAGTGGTTCCCAGTCCTGCCAGCAGCCGTGCCCCACCTCGATTCAGACCCACCAGGTCTGGGTAGAACCCCAGCATCGGTATTTTTTAAAGCCTTCCCCTGCACCCCAGGATTCTGACCTGCAGATGGATTTTGGTGGAGGCATTCAGACCAGCCCCATTGTGCTGCTTCTGGTATCCCTTACCTCCTGGCCCACACGTGCACCTGGAGTACCGGGAACCTGAGTGAAGACGCCCCCAGGAGCAGCGGGCCCCTCTACCACTGCCCAGTGTAGTGTCCACCCCTTCTCACCATTCTACTTTATAGATGGTCCCAATTCCCTCCAGGAAAATGTATGGATTTTTTTCAGATCTGGAGTCATTTGAATTTCAAAGGATATTGTTATGAGAGTCATCAAGCAGATTTTTGTCTTATTTATCCAAAAGATGGGGACAGAGATTGTAGTCATCACTTTCTTTCCTAAAGTGATCCCATTCATCTTCAAAAAACACTCATCAAATCTTAGGCCAAATCATGCACGACTTCAGCAGAATTCCAAAAAGAATTGAACTTCCAGAGGTTCCCAGAGGACCCTACCCTTGCTACAAATAATGTTCTCAGCCTTTCTTGGCATTTGCAAAGTGCCAGCATTTAATAATAATAATAATAATAATAACCTCAAGTTAGCCCCTGGCCATCATAGAATTCCCTGAGTATTCCAGAAAAAAATGCTGGCATATTTACGTTTGCTGCACTAGTAAGGGTCTCCCAGCAGTAAAAGCTAGACCTCTGTGTTTGTTCTCTTCTGTACACATTTGAGCTCGAGTTACGCTCCTGCATGTGTGTAGACACTAGATTGAGGCCACTTTGATTTATTAAACCGTTTATGTCAAGCGCAACTATTATCATTTGCCTTCCCTTCCATAAATGGAAATGCTTTTAATTGCATTTTATTTTTCAAATAAAAAAGCAGAGGTCACGGGAATGGAACTCACAGCGAACCTCATCCCTGCGTGGCGGGTCCACCCGAGGCACCGATCCCTACACACTCAGCCACGCTGACACCGGAACTGAGGCTGTTGGCTCACTGGGTTCTCACAGCTAGAAAGTGGGAGCTGAGTCCCCTGCACCCCTTTTCTGGACAACACCCCCATTTAGCAGCAGTCACTGTTCTTGACCAGAGCGCGGACAGCTTGTTTCCATGTCCCTTTTGGCCACTGGGAAGGTTTCCCTAAGGCCAGGTCTAAGCCCCCTGCGCCTCCCCTCATGGACAAGGCTCCAGCGTTGGGGAACTTGTTTTACCACCTGACTCCCACCTATTCTCTCTGTGGGCAAAGGAGAGGACACAGGAGCTGGCTTTTCTCTATGACTCTGGAAACCACTGCATCATACATCTTGGGGAATACATGTCGCTCATGTCTTCAGATCTGAAAAACAGACTTTGAGGTGAAGAGCCGGAGCAGAAGCAGGCCTGCCACGCTCCAGAAGGCTGCCCTCTGCCCTCTGCACACCCAGGCCCTCAAAGTAGTGTAGCACTGGCTGCATTTTGACCAAACTTTTCTGTTCATTGTCTTCTGAGAAAACAGTTGTATGTTTCAGGAGTTAGAAAAAAGGCAAAGATAAAGCAAATGTTCTTCATGTCCCCAGCCTGACTGAGTGGAGTGGGAAGACTTGCTCCCCAAACTGAGGTCACGGATTTTTAGCGGATTTTTAGCGTTCTGCCTACTGCAGCTGAAAGTACATCTTCGCCTCCAGAAAAACAACGAAAACAGCTGACAACTCAGGGGTTCAGGAGCATTTTCAGTAATAGTAATACTCTCTCTGCCCCACACGCGCTCCAACATGCCCTCCAAAAAAAATTAAACAGCAACAAAACCAGCAGGAACTCTGAAATCATCCTTTCTGGGTAATAGAAAAGAATTTGCTGGGATTGGCGATTGCTTCTTGTTTATCGTTAAAATTTTAAATTAAAAATAATTTTAAGACCCAAGTCTCTGCTATCCTAAGTTAAATTGAATTAGATGAAGGAGATGAAAATGCATAACACACTGTCCTGTTAAATATTAGTCTGAAAGATTCTGCCTCTTACAGAACAAAGGAGAAATTAGGAAGTTCCTGTTAGCACCTGCCTTCGGTACCATATGTCAGGCATGAAAAATACTGACATTCACACCCTGATATTCCTGCCACAGCTATCAGAGGGCATTGTTTATGTGATTGAAAATTCTATTTAAAACAGTGTTTTAGAAAATAAAGACTAAATGAATAAATTCTTTCTGGGGCAAGAGCACCTTCCCTATGTATCCAGGTGTGATTTTTAATCTTCCACTTGTATGCCCCACCTCTCCCTCTAGCGAAATGCTTGTTGAGGTCGACAGAGAATGTTTTCTATAAAGAGGTCGCACTCCTCAGCTTCCACCTCGCCCCGAGGTGCTGAGGGTCTGAACAGCCGAGAGTGCCTCTCGCAGAGTGTGAAGTGGGAAGGGGCTTGCTATTATAGCTCCTGAAAGGATCCTTCCGACTTCAGAAAATAGCCTGGCAAAGAAAAGCTTTTCTCCATGAATACCCAGGGCCTGCATTATGCTCCTCGGACGGTCCAGGTGAGTACTTTTGATCAATATTCCCTAAGAAATGGCCACCGGGCTAAGTGCACGCGAAGGGCCTCAATAACAGATCTCCCTCCCCCAACCTGCAGCGCATTTGCAGCAAATCTCTCGCGATCGGTGTGAGCCAGTGAGGCTGCACATTAATGGCATCATCTCCCTTTAAAAAAGTGTCCCCCAATTTGTCCTCCAGGTGGATGGCTGATTACGGCCCCCAGAAACAGTTATCTCTATAGCCTTTCTTCAGGGATGTTGTGTCATCTTCCTTTCAGGCACCAGGGAAAGCGAACCCCTGAAACCGTTTTAACCTGAAGAAGGGACAATGCCAGTCAGAAACCTCAAAACAGTACCTTATCGTAATAAAAAAAGGTTTTTTTTACTAATTACCATTAAGATTTCTAATGAAATAGCCAAAGGATAGATGTGTGCTTTAAACCAGGTATTCTATATTTTTTTCTAAAACTAATGATCTGCTCCCATTCCAAATCACCGCCACCCCAGAATGATACGCTGGTTATTCAAAAAGATATTCTTCTACCCTTCTTTCCAGATTAATACAAACACACACAAAGATACAGGGTTTTCCTTTTTATAGAGATAGCATTATACAATACACATCATTCCTTAACTTCCTTCTTTTGGTTTTTATTTATTTTTTTTATTGTTGACAGTATTACAGATGTCCCCCGTTTTATCTCCCTTTGCCCCCTCCAACCAACACCTGCCCCACCCCAGGCCTTCCCCACACTATTGTCTGTGCCCATGGGCATGCACATATGCATTAAAAGCTCTTTGGTTAATCCCTTCCCATCACCCCACCCCCACTTTACTCCCCTCTGAGGTCCGTCAATCTGTTCCAGGCATCCATGCCTCTGGACCTATTTTGTTTGTCAGTTTATTTTGTTCATTACATTCCACATGTAAGTGAGGTCATGTGATATTTTTCTCACTCTGACTGGCTTATTTTGCTTAGCATGATACTCTCAGGTCCACCCATGCTATCGCGAAGGATAAGAGATCCTTTTTTCTAGCCACGTAGCATTCCATTATGTAAATATACCGCAGCTTTTGTATTCACGCATCTACTGATGGGCACTTGGGCTGCTTCCAGATCTTAGCTATTGTAATTGTACTGCTATGAACATAGGGGGGTTTCCGGATTCTTAGGATATACTCCAGGAAGTGGGATCACAGTTCCATTTTTAGTTTTTTGAGGAAACTCCATACTGTTTTCCACAGTGGCTGCACCAGTCTGCATTCCATTAGCAGTGCACGAGGGTTCTCGTTTCTCCACCTCCTCGCCAGCACATATTATTTGTTGATTTATTACTGGTAGCCATTATGACAGGTGTGAGGTGATAGCTCATTGTGGTTTTAATTTGCATCTCTCTGGTGATTAGAGACATTGAGCTGTTTTTCATATGTCCATTGACTATCTG